CATTCTGTTTGCCAGAATCTTGTTGAAGCTTTTTGTGTCTATGCTCATTAAAGATGTTGGCCTGTAGTTTTCTTTTTTAGTTGGGTCCTTGTCTGGTTTTGGAATCAAGGTAATGCTAGCTTCCAGGAATGAATTTGGAAGCATGCTTTCCTTTTCATATCTATTAAAGAATTTAAAGACTGCACTGGCATTGAGTTGGCACAGTCTTGCTTTTTCTACACTGTTCATGGTTTTTAAATCTTTTTATTTCAATGTTAGTAATTCATATGTGTCTAGGAATCTGTCTTTTTTTTTTTTTTTTTTGGTACTGGGGATGGATCTCAAGTCCTTGTGCTTGTGAGGCAGTCACCAGAACCACTGAGCTAAATCCCCAGCCCTGTCCATATTTTATAAACTCTTCAATTTGTTAGAGTTTGTAATGACATATTTTTCATTTTTAAGTACATTTACATGGATATTTTCTTCTCTTGTTAGGGCTGGCAAGGGTTTTTCTATTTTGTTTCTTCTTTTTAAGAATCAAATGTTTTTTATTGAATTTATTGGTACATTTTAGGTACACAATACAATGACTTTCATCATTGGGAATTTGCATCATATGTTATATTCTTGGTTCTTATTTTTCCCCATTCTCCTACCTCCCTTCAATCCCTCCATCCCTCCCTATTTACAATGACTCTTCATTTGCATTTTTCCTGTGCCTACCCATCCTAGTTCCCCTTTCCCTTTACACCTTTTCTTCCTATTTCACATTATCTATTATACATTTTGATCCTTATTTACACTTCCAGTTGTTCACACCAGAGAATTTTGTGTCCTGTTTATATCATTTAAGAGTATGGCCTCAATGTGCATCCTTTTACCCATAAATGTCTCTAGTTTCTCATTCTTTATGGCTGAGTAGTACCCCATTTTATATTTTTAAAAACCCACATCTTCTTTTTCCAGTCTTCAGCTGATGGGCAGTTGGGCTGTATAAAAGTTGTACTTTTATAAACTGCTGCTATGAACATGGGCTTATATGTATATCTCTGTGGTATGATTCTTTTAATTCTTTTGGGAAGATACCCAGCAGGGGAATAATAGATGAGTCAAATGGTACCCCTAATCCTAATTCTCTGAGGTATCTCCATATTGATTTCTACAGTGGTTGCACCAATCTGCATTTCTTTTCTCTCCACAACCCTGCCAACATTTCTTACTGGTTGATTTCTTTCTTTTTTTTTTTTTTTTTTTTTTTTGGTGGTACTGGGAATCAAACTCGGGTCCTTGCACTTGTGAGGCAGGTGGCGGAACCACTGAGCTAAATCCCCAGCCCCCCTGGTTGATTTCTTGATGGCAGCCATTCTTTCTGGAGAGAGGTGAAATCTCAGTGTTGTTTTCATCTGCGTCTCTTGAATGACCAGTGATGTTGAACATTTTTTCATGCATTTATTTGCTAATTCTGTTTGTCTAAGAAGTGTCTGTTCATTTTGGACACCCATTTTTGAATTGGGTCTTTAAATTTTGGGAGTCTTTTTTTTAAGTTCTTTATATATTCTAGATAGTAGTCCTTTGTCTGAGGAGCAGCTGGTAAAATTTTTTTCCCACATTGTATGTTGTCTGTTAGCTCTGTTGCTTTTTCTTTCAGTGCAGAACTTTTTAATAAGATGAGATAAGATGTTGATTCTTTATGCTAGTTCCCTTGACACTGAGGTTTTGTTCATAAAGTCTTTTCCTATGTCAATATCTTTAAAAGTTCTAACCTATCCTCCAGCAAGTTTTAGTGTTTCTGTTTTAATATTTAGATCTTTGATCCAATTCTATTGTAGTTTAGTGCATGCTGAAAGATATGGATCTAGTTTTAATCTGTGGCAGGCTGAATCCAGTTTTTCCAGCACCATTTATTAAAGAGGCTATTTTTACTCCATTAAAAGTGGTTGGCTCCTTTGTCAAAGTTGAGGTGGCTGAGTATGTCTGGAGTTGTTTCTGCCTCATCTAATCTAGTCTACCGATCCTCATGTCTGTTTATTTGCCAGTACTATGCTGCTTTTATCACAGTGGTTTTATAGTATAGTTTCATGTTAGGGATTGTGATACCCCTGTCATGTCTATGTGGCCTAGAATTGTTATTGATATTCTGGGTCTCTTTACAAATACATTTTTTGGTTATTTTTGTTGTTCTATGAAATATGTTGTTGGGATTTCAATCCTGATTGCATTGAATCTATATAGCAGTTTTGGAAGTATGGCTATTTTTACTATATTGGTTTTTCCTACCCAGGAATAAGGGACATCTTTCCATTTTCTTATATCCTCTTCAATCTCTGTTTTCAGAGTTGTACAGTTTTCAAGGTATAGGTCTTTTACTTTTTTTGTTAGATTGAAGGATCAACTTTGTTTGTTTGTTTGTTTGTTTGTTTGTTGAGACAGAGTCTCACTATGTAGTTGAGACTGACCTGGAACTCACTATGTAGCCCAGGCTGGTCTCAAACTCACAGCAATCCTCCTGCCTCAGCCTCCCTAGTGCTGGGATTACAGGCATGTGCCACCATGCCTGGCTAGGATCAACTTTTTGATTCATTGATTTTTTTGGATTTCTTTGTTCATCAGATCTCACTTGACTTTTTTATTAATTAAATTTATTGGTACAATTTATTTTTTTAGAACATCAACATTTATTTAACATACTGTAAAAGAAATGAGATGTAAACATTTGCATTTAAACAACAGTAAATAGCTTTTAATACATTATATGTGCTCATTGTATACTGTATACACAATGAACACAGTTACATTTATACATGAATTAAGTGCTGGATTTGAAAACCTGCTTATTGCTGTACACATCTATCCCATTGAAGTATAAGTCCAGTAGTTCGAGATATCTACACCTTTTTGTAAGAAAAGATAAGCGATAACGTTTGTGTTTAAGCTGACCAGTGACAGTAACTGCTGACACTGCAGTCTGAGAAAGGGGAAAACAGGACATACTTCACTTAGCAGTAAGAAAAGGGCGCATTTTAAACATATATATTTTTTTTTTAACTTTTACAAATCGAGAGTGAAATAAAGCACTGCGGTAGCCAAAATTGGAAGAAGGAAAAAACAAGCTTCACTGAAAATAATAGCTAACTTTATGTACCAAAAAGCAAAAAAGAATATAAATTCACCTAGACTTAGGAAAGCTCAGATCAGCTGAGAAAGCTTAGGTGCAACTGCATGGTAATTAGCACCAGTCTGTGTGCTCAGAGGAGCTGGCAAGGAGCAGCATGGACCTTAAAGCTGTTATTGCTGAAGGTCTGTGAGTGGTTTCAGCAGAAATGAGCAGAGTTGGAGCTACAAGCACGTGAAATGCAAGCCTTCCAGGAGCTGCGGCTGTGGGGGCGGTCAGGCTTGGGAGGCAGGGTAGACTCTTCCCTGCCAGTGTTTGATTTTCTTTAGAAATCTCAGGAGTGGACTTCTGAGAAGTAACCGTTTCTTCCTCTCCGTGAATGCTGTCCTTCCTGTCTTCCTCACAATGGCCTTCTGGTTTATGATTTGGGTCTTTGTCTCACCTTCAGGGTGTATGTTACATCCTTGGGCATCTTTTCCTTGTTATTTTCTTTACCTGTCACTTCTTCAGAATACATTCCATTTGGTTTAGGTGTGGAAATCATTTCATAAAAAAACGCTTTCAGTTCTTTTAAACTCTTGACTATAATCTTTATTTTGGGGCTCAGCTCCTTTGAGTTGGGCAATTTGCAAAAACTCTGAATTAAAACACAGATTGCAAACATGTACAAATTATGTCCTTTTCTAAACCTTTTTTTTTTTTTTTTTTTTACTGTTCTGGGGATTAAACCCAAACCTTTCACACTGAACTACATTCCCCAGTCCTTTTCTTAGGTTTTACTTGAGATGGGGTCTCACTCCAATCTGAAATCAGCCTCCTTACAGCTGTGTACCACCACATCTAGCTAATTTTCCTTTCCTTTTGTTTTGTTTTGTCGTTTTGGTTTGGGGTGTTAATGTTATTTTTTTTGTTTTGTTTTTTTGTAGTGCTAAGAATGAAAGCCAGGAATCTTATGCATGTGGGCAGGTACTCTACCACTGAACTACTTATCTACACATACTCCCAACTCAGCCCTGGAATTATATTTGAGGATCTTGATGGTTTCTTTGCCTCTGTATGTTTCCCACAAGTTGTGATCTGAGCCCATGGGCCATGTATTCACTCATCCATTCTCTCGGTTATGGTTTTTAGGGCTTTTTATGCTTTTATTTTTCTTCATGAAAACTACTAAATTTTATTTTAGGCTCCAAGTGCAAATATACAATAAATTATCTGGACATCATATTTAAAATTGTTGGATCCTACTCAAGTTAAAACATTCAGGGAAAAGCAGTGGTGTGTATCAGTTGACCCTTCTTCCACTTTACATAAGTGTTCTCCATAGTCACCCAAACATTGTAAAATATAAAAAAGCCTGGACAGGTACCCCAGTATGAAAGCTTTGTGTTCAATCCTCGGTACTGGGGCAAAGAAAAATAGATGTAAACCAACCTCAGTGGTGCACACCTGTAACACTAGCATTCTGGGAGGCTTAGACTGGAGGATCATGAGTTGAAGCCCAGTCTGGGAAACTTAATAACTTAACAAAATATAAATAGGTAAGAGGGATGGAGCTCAGTGCAGAGGCTTGGATTTAATCCCGAGTACCACAAAAATGAAGGGGGAGGGTAAGAATATGAATCCAAGTGTCCCAGGTGATGTTAAACTTACAGAAGTAACTGTGGACAAAGACTTAAACTTTTTTTTTTTGTACCAGGGATTGAACTTAGGACCTTGTGCTTTGTAAGGCAGGTGCAATGCCACTGAGCTAAATCCCCAGACAGAGACTTAAACTTCTGATAGCCAAAGCATACAGCACATGTTTGGAGACCACAGAATTACACAATTGTATGTGAACTTGTTAATTTGAATATAGATCCCAAGCACTGTTTATCTCATTCCTCCTGTATGCATGTGTGGGACATTTCAGGACTTGGTAGCCTTTGAGGATGTGTCTGTGGACTTCAGCCAGGAGGAGTGGGCTCTACTGGATCCTTTACAGAAGAAGCTATATAGAGATGTGATGTGGGAAACCTTCAGGAACCTGGTCTATATAGGTAAGGATGACATCACCCCCTTACTGAGCCAATCAGAGAACAAATATTTCTTGATCAAATATTTCTTTCTTCCCATTTTAGAATGGAAAAAATGATAGATCTTTTGCACATGGGAAGTGTACCAACAAATGGAGGGGGAAAAGGGAGGGGAAGGGGACATAAAAATAATTAAGTTGGGCCTAGGGTTTTAGCTCAGTGATGCCATGCCTGCCTTATAAGTGATCTGAGTTAGATCCCCAGTACCAAAAAAAAAAATTAAGATGTGTTATGTACATGTACATTGCCCCACAATGAATGTGATCATTATGTACTGCAAACGTGTACTAATTTAAAAAATCACATACACAAAAAATAGAATGTAAAGAGTGAAAACATTGGTTAAACACAATAATGTTTCCATTATTTCTAATAATTTATAAGATTTTCTGTATCTGATTTTAGGGAGCAAATGGGAGAACCAGAATATTAAAGATCAGTACAAAAAACAGGGAAGAAATCTAAGGTGAGTTATACACACGAGAGAAAGCAGTGTCCCTTGAATTCAAGAATCGCTGTATATGGGATGTTTCATTATTAAAATTACTAAGAAATTTTAAAAGCAAGCAAACCAAAGAAGCCTAGCCTCAAATTTATTTTTTCTTGGAAATTTTCACTATAAAATGTTTTCTTTTTTTTACAAAATGTTTTCTTAAATGGAAAAGATGTTCAATGTTTGAAAAATATTTTACTTGGAAACAGTATTAAGAAACCCATAGAGAACCAGGGATGTATCTTACCAGCACCATGCCTGCCTGGCAGGCACAAGACCCTGAGTTCAATTCCTGGTACCAGGAAGGAAAAAAAAAAAAAGAAACCCCATATATGAATATCTCTGTTTAGATTATGAGATTGTTTATATTTATTTATTTTTTTAATACCACAAAATTTCCTTTTCAGTGAACTAATAGAAACAAGTAGTATAAATGAAACAAATTATGTTTTTTTTATTTTGAAATGAAGTCATGCTACTTTGCCAAGTCTTACCTCAAACTCTTGGGTTCAAGTGATCTTCCCACCTCAGCCTCCCAAGTAGCTGAAACTACAGGCATGTACCACTACTCCCAGCATGAGTGTCACTGTTTTGATAATAGATATAGAGGGCCCCTATTGCAGAGCATTGAGTAGATTACTTTCAAACAGTTCAAACAGGGCAGAAAACATAGTTCCTCTGAAAATGATAAAATGGCAGGCTAATTCCTGTTAATAAACATGAAATAATCATATTAATGTGCCTCTAATTTTTTACAGAAGTTATTTGACACAGAGACTCTGTGAAAGTAAAGAAGGTGGTCACTATGGAGAAATCTTCAGCCAGATTTCAGATCCCACTAGGACTAAGAAAACCACTGGAGTAAAACCATATGAATGTAGTGTTTGTGGAAAGGGCTTCATGCTTCATTCATCCCTTACTAGGCACATTAAATCTCACCCTGGACATGAACTTGATGGGTTTCGATATGGAGAGAAGCCGTATAAATGCAAGGAATGTGGGAACACCTTCAGTTATCTCAAATCCTTCCAAAGACATGAAAGGAATCACACTGGAGAGAACCCCTATAAATGTAAACAGTGTGGGAAAACCTTCATATATCACCAGCCCTTTCAAACACATGAACTCATGCACAGTGGAGAGAAACCCTACCAATGTAAGCATTGTGGGAAAGCTCTCAGTTCTCCCAGTTCTCTTCGAATTCATGAAAGGATTCACACTGGAGAGAAGCCCTATGAGTGTAAGAAATGTGGGAAAGCCTTCAGCTGTCCCAGTTCTATTCAAATCCATGAAAGAACCCACACTGGAGAGAAACCCTATACATGTGAGGAATGTGGGAAAGCCTTCATTTCCCGAACAAGTGTTCAGACTCATATGATAACACACAATGGAGATAGACCTTATAAATGTAAGGAATGTGGGAAGGCATTCATTCGTCCCAGTTTTTTACGTGTACATGAACGAATTCACACTGGAGAGAAACCCTACGAATGTAAACAATGTGGTAAAGCCTTTAGGTGTTCTACTTCCATTCAGATTCACGAAAGAACTCACACTGGAGAGAAACCATATAAGTGTAAGGAATGTGGGAAAGCCTTCAGTGCTCGCCCAGCCTTCCGAGTACATATGAGAGTGCACACTGGAGAGAAACCCTATAAATGCAAAGAATGTGGGAAAGCCTTCAGTCGTCTCAGTTACTGTCGGGTACATGAAAGGACTCACACTGGAGAAAAACCCTATGAATGTAAAAAGTGCAGGAAAACCTTCAACTATCCTCTAGATTTGCAAATACATGAAAGAAATCACACTGGAGAAAAACCTTATGAATGTAAGGAATGTGCAAAAGCCTTCATTTCTCTTGAAAACTTTCGAAGACACATGATAACACACACTGGGGATGGGCCCTATAAATGCAGGGAATGTGGGAAGGCATTCATTTTCCTCAGTGCATTGCGAACACATGAAAGAACTCACACTGGAGAGAAACCTTACGAATGTAAACAGTGTGGGAAAGCCTTCAGTTGTTCCAGTTATGTTCAAATACATGAAAGGACTCACACTGGAGAGAAACCCTATGAATGTAAGGAATGTGGAAAGGCCTTTATTTATCCCACAAGCTTTCAAGGACACATGCGAATGCATACAGGAGAAAAACCTTATAAGTGTAAACAATGTGGGAAAGCCTTTAGTCTTCGCAGTTCCTTTCAAAGACATGAGAGAACTCATAGTGGTCAGAAACATTTTGAATGTAAGCAATGTGGAAAACGCTTTACTTTGTCCACATCCTTAAATAAGCATGTGAAGTTGCACAATAGATAGAAACCCAGTGAGAGCATGGGGGAACATTTTCACTTTCAACATATAGTTTTCAGGCATGACTTCCCACTGTGGAAGAATCTTATAAGTAATGTAGAGCTCTAGATCCAAAGTAATTCATGTATGTCTTAGTTGCTTTTACATTACTAGAATAAAATACTCAACATTCACAAATTATAAGGAGGACCAGTTTATTTTAGCTCACGATTTGTAGAGGTTTCAGTCAGAGTCAGTTGGCTCCAAGGCTCCATAGGGAGGTCAGGGAAGAAACAGCCCATAGCAGGCAGGCGGGTAGCAGTGTTGCCTGCTTTCTATCCCTTTATATTCCACCCAGGCTGTGAGCCTATTGATTGCCACTCACACCCAGGGTGGAGCCTCCTTCCAGTAAATCCAGCCAGCCACACCCAGAACTATGCTAATAATCTCTTAATCCATATTCAAATACCCTAGATCCAGCCACCTCTGAAAAGCCTCACCTATAACAATATATGTTGGCCTAGAAAATTCAAAATGTGAAAAATGCTATAAAACTCAAACATTTATATTACTGGTTCTTTGGGGTTTGGTTATTTTGTTGTTTTTTGATATTTTAGGGATTGAACCTAGGGCCATGTATTGTGTGCTCTACCACTGAGCTACACACCCAGCTCAGTGGTGGACTGTGTACCTAACATGCACAAGGCCCTAGATTTGATCTCCGCAATGAAAGACAGCCAAAAGTTGTGGCAGAAGCACTTTGGAGGCTGAGGCAGGGGGATTGCTGCAACTTGAAAGGCAGAGTAGTCCACATAGTTCAAGGCTAACCTGAATGACAAAATGAGACCATGTCTCAACAACAAAAAACAAGCATTGCATAGGAGTTGATTTTCATACTGTGTTACTCTTACTGCTCTCTCCAAATCCTTCCATGTGAAAATAATTGCTTTCCTCCTATCAGGCATTTGTGGATTTCCATTACTGCTGAATGCACCCCCTCAGTATGTTTCCATGTATATTCATTTGTGATTGAAAACAATGTGTATTTTCCCTGTGAAGCAAAATCTGTAAATATTTCTTAGAAATGTACTGTTTTCAGACAACTTGTACATTAACAAATAATACTGTTTTCCCTGTTTCCTGAGAGGTTATATTAAACTATACCATTGCACATATGGGTATTTGGACCAATGTTGTAAATTTTGTCAAGTTAATCTTACATTATAGTTCATCACTAGCATGTGCATACAGTTTCAAATATTTCCTTAGGCATGTTTTATTTTTTTCTTACACTTAACACATTTTGTCATGAAACTAATGTTTCATCTATGATTAAAGCTAAAAATGTAAGCCACAGTTCTGTCCCTGCCCTCTTCCAAAGATTACCAAGGTCACACATTTAGAAGTGAGTAATAAATTGTAGTAATAATGTACACAAATGCAGAATTACTGGTCTTATCAATTAAAACTGCCAAATAGGTGATCTTGTATTATTTGCACTTCCTTATGTGATTTTCCTGCTATTCAAGGAGGCAAAATATTTGTTCATCTTAAATACTGTGAGGTGAATATAATTCTGTCATTAGGAATAATGTGGCTTTTTTTTCTGTGAAGTAAAAATAGCAACTAACTCTTTTCATAAGAAGTGCCCAACAGCCAGGGCAGTGTTGCACATTATAATCCCAGCAGTCAGGGAAGCTGAGGCAAGAGGATCACGAATTCAAGTGCCAGATGACCGACTTAGACCCTGTGTTAAAAGGTTTAAAAAAGTGGGGCTGTACCTCAGTGTGAAGGCACTGGGTTCAATCTCCAGCACCACAAGACCAAAAAGTACCAGTCATTCACATTAATGAGAATGTGTACTATTTTTATGGTTTGAGCTTTGATCTCTTTTAGTTATCCTTGTTTTTGTATTGATCCACTCTAGCTATGAGGAAGCTCTTTCTGCTGGTAGAAGTGTGTGACATTTGCATAATTTCCTGTTTTTTGATAGTATATACAATGATTAACTTGTACAATCTGTACACATTAAACATTGAAGCACAAGGTCGCGAGTTTGATCCCTAGTACCAAAAAAAAAAAAAAAAAAAAAAGATTTCCAGGGTCTGGGATTTAGCTCAGTGGTGCTGTGCCTGCCTGGCAAGCACAAGGTCCTGAGTTCGATTCCCAGTACAAAAACAAAAACTGGAGTTGCATTTTGGGAAAGATTATGGTAATCTGTAGTGTTCTACACCATTATGGACTTTCGGGGAAATCTGGTTCTGGGGATTGAACCCAGGACATTTGCACTGAGCTACATCCCTTGCTATGTTGCCCAGGCTGGGCTCACACTTGCCATCGTTCTGATTCTACAGGGGTTATCCTGTTTTAGTGGAAAAGAAAGTACTGTATTTGTGGAATCCATGAACAAGATATTTGTTTTTCTTTGGGGTGGGGGGTCTTTCTCTTATTCCAGGCTGGCCACAAACCCCTAGGTCAAGCAATTACTCTGCCTTAGCCTCCGGAATAGCTTGGAAGACATGCATCATCATACCTAGCTAAGTATGCACTTTTACAAGTACAGTACAACATCAGAATTTTCAAATAGGATGCAAGCTAATGTGATGTTCCATTTACATAATATTCAGGATGGCAAAAGTAGGGATTGTGTACATCAACTGTTGTTATGACAAATAGCTGAGAAAACTTAGAAGAAACATTTATTTTGGTTCATGGTTTCAGAGTTTGCAGTCCCTAGTCAGCTGGCTCCACTGCTTTTGGCCTATAACAAGATGGAAATACTGTGAATGGAAGTGGTGGAAGAAAGCTGCTCACTTCATGGCAGCCAGGAAACAGAGAGAGAGAAAAAAATTAGAGAGGAAGGAGCTAAAGAAAGTCACACCCCATGACTAGTAGGCCCCACCTCCTGTTTCCATTACTTCTCAATACTAATGTCAAATTATGATATCAAGCTGGGTGTGGTGGCACACACCTGTAATCCAAGCCCTCAGGAGGCTAAGGTAGGAAGATCACTGTGAGTTCCAGGGCAGCCTGGACATTGAGACCCTTTCTCAAAAAAAAAAAAAAGTTATGGTATCATCAAGGGGTTATTCCACCAATGACAAAGTTCTCATGATGTGATCATGTCTCTAGGGGTCTCTTGATCCAATCAAGTTGAGAATTAAGATCAGTTGTCTGTCTCAGGGTTGCAGCTCAGCAGTAGAACACACATTTACCACAGGAGGCCTCGGGATCAAACCTTAGCACTAACACAATAAATCTATTTGCGATAGTGAAGTGGGAAACAGTGAGGACCTCAGGACAGATAACTCTTTAATATGAAGATAGGAGCAAAAGCAGCTTTTGATGATGCCAGCGGCTCAGCAAGTGACTCCTGTCAGTCTTTTTTTTTTTTTTTTTT